CGGCCGCACGCCACAGGAAGGGGATCCCGGGGGATAACCCCATTGCACGAGGATCCAACGCTAGGGTGCCGACCAGGTCTTAGGGCCATTGCACGGTGCGGTATCCCTAGCGGGGTGTGGGCGACTGTCCATCGGGATGGTTGCCAGCTGGGAAGGTGGACGGGCCGCCGGGACGTTTCCCGGGCGGCAGGGCCGCTCGGACGTATTCCGAGGCGGGGCCTGCTGCTCTCGGTCCGCCGGGGCCGCTCGGACTTATTCCGAGGCGGGGCCCGGCGGTACGGAGGCAAGGGAAGGAAAACCCGGAAGGAAAATCGTACACCCGGCCGGGGGCGGCTTGTAAAATAGCCCCAACCTTTTAATGTTAAGATAGATGGAGAATAAAGAATTGATGACTACGTCAGCAGTTGGTATCGGAACCGACAGCTGCCGGCGTGGGGGAGGTGGCGTCCTGGCCACCCCCATGTCGGACCTGATCCCTAGGGATCAGGTATCCTGTGACAGGCGCGACGACGGGTGCACCGCAGGCTCGTCGTCGAGCAGAAATGCGCCTGCGACGATGGCAGAGGCGATGGTATCATCGTATACGGAGAGCGTGGGGAAGAATGGGGTCCCCTCGGATGTGAATGTCTGTAAGGAAGGAGGTGCTCAGGATGAAGACTCTTCTACCGAGACGATCTCTGTCCCATAGGAGTGGGACAGTGAGGGAACGGACCTTATGGACGTTACCGATAAAGCTTACTATGCTCTCAGTTACGACGATTATGAAGACGAGGACTTCTTGAGTCCTGAAGAGACACCTGATGCATTGCGTCTTAAGGGTGGCATCGGTTCTCCCTAGTCGGAGGATCAACCGGAGAGCTCACCAAAACCGTCCTCAACAATAACTGGGTCTCCCTATGTAGAGGAACGACAATTGAGAGAGCGCCCGGGGCCGAGATGCTCAGAGGGTCTTAGGGACTCAACGGCATAAAAAAGGAGTCAAGTTGATACAAAGAAGGATGGAGCCACTGACACCGAGACATCAGAGAAGGAAGGGAGGAAAGAGAAAGGACCGAGGGGATCTTTCTTTAGGAAACCGAGCGTCAAAGATGAGGCGGAGATGGAGGATGATGTAGAATCCGGGGAACCTCCGGATAAAATAGTTGCCATTGACGACGAGGATGACGATGAAGATAAAGGCTCCTCCGTCGGCAAAAGAAGACGAGGAAGACCTAGGACAAATATATCTCAGGACGGAGAGCGATACCTTATTAAACGTGAGGTCCTCCAAAAGGTGAATGAACAGGAGGAGAAAAGGCTACAGCTCCGAAGGGAGGATGTCATAAGAGAGCTGTCCAATAAAGAACTGATAAAAAAGTTCAAGATCAATCTGGACAAATACACAGAAGAAGTTGAAGATCACTCGAGCGGCGAAATCGCCAGAAAAACGGAGGACTACATGATGGAGGTCATAAGGATTGCAAAAACCTCTGGAAACTTAAAGGGAACGTATCAGAAGTCCCTAAAGTTATCCGCTGCCGCAACGCTCGGATGTCTCCAAGTGCTGCAGGGACGAGCAGAGAAATCAACGGACGAGACAATGTCTGGAGAGATCGCTCTCGTAAAGAAAGAGATTGTAGATATGAAGAAGAACTTCGAGGAGCAGTTAAATAAAGAAAAAGAAAGAACCAAAGCTGCGGAGCAACAAATAATTCGGTTAAAGAAAGAGCTCACAGACCTGAAGAGGTTAGCGGGTAGAAAAAGCTCACAAGAAACCGAAGTAGGGTCGACATGAGCGAGCGACTCCAAAGAGGTCTCTCAAAGACTGAGCTGCCTCCGTCAAAATCAGAGGAACTCTCAAAAGAAAGACTACAGCGAGGAAATCTCCAAAGAAAGTAGAATGGAGATTAGCGATGAGTCACAAGAGGAGGTAATCTTACCGCCAAGGGAGGAATGGTCTCCTGCCATAAGACCGGCGATTCGTGGCAAGCCTAAGGTGATCGGGGACCGTATCCTGCCGGAAAGCCATAAAGTGACGATCGTGAGAACAAAACCTGGCGATGGAAACATCCAAAAGACGGATCAGGGCGGCCTTACAATCGGCAGAAAATAACAGGAGAAGAAGAAGATGGCTCAGGCCCTGGGAAAAGCTGCAAGCAAGCCTACTGAGCTTGCAGAAATTATAAGAGAGATTATTAGGGAGGAGCTTGGAACGAGATCTAATTCCCAAGGAGAAAGAAGATCAAGGGTGAGATCGAGGTCACGGTTAGTGCGACGCACAGATATAGAGCATAAGGGAGAGACACTTTCTCGAGATACTAAGGCTGTGGAGCCGGTTAAAACGGATGAAACATGGGCCACGATACTCGGAAGAAAGGCCAGGAGAGAATTAAAGAAACCGGTGGTTCCGAGATCCACAGGAAAGAACCCCAGAGTTCTACTGAGCCAAAAACCCCCAATGGAGATAAAAAAGAAGAGGCCACCGCGTACCGCGGTTGTTCAAATCGCTACAGAGGGCGATACAACGTATGCGGATACTCTAAGGAAGGCTAAGGAACGAATCAAATTGGATGAACTGGGTATCCCGGAACTACGCCCGCGCCGTGCCAAGACTGGGGCCTTCTTACTGGAGATCTCAGGCCCAGATAGTGCAGTGAAGGCGGATGCACTAGCCATGAAGCTTCAGGAGACATTCGCCGAGAACGGGGAAATCAAGATCTCGAGACCTGTCAAAACGACCGAGATCCGCATTGACAACCTGGATGATTCAATATCATCTATGGAGGTATTACAAACTATAGTAACTGCAACCGAATGCAATCATGCGGACGTAAAAATGGGCCCTATCAATAAAGCCCGTAACGGACTAGGGTCCATATGGGTCAAGTACCCAGTGGTAGCAGCCAATAAATTAATTGACGGCAAAAAAATATGAATAGGATGGACCACTGCGAAGGTGACGTTGCTTCCTGATCGTGGACTGCAATGTTTTAAATGTCTACGATTTGGACACATAAAGGCTGAGTGCAGGAGTACCACAGACCGTAGCATCGCGTGCTATCGATGTGGGGAAGAGGGCCACCAGGCAAGAGGATGTACGAAGGCTGTCAAATGTTTGATATGCGAGGAGGCGGGACTACCCCACGGTCACCGAATGGGGGGAAATGCCTGCCATCCCGAGACAGGCCGGAAGAATAAGAATAGGGCACAAAACAACCAGTTGGCTGATAGGACCGGAAAGCAAAAGGAAAAAACCCTGGAAGCTGGTCAACAGAACGTACTGTATACACACGGAACACTCAGGGACAATACGTGAAGACAACGGAAGAAAAAATGGGAAAAGTGATTGCGGCAAACAGTCCCACGCCAATGGAGACTGAGACGTTACATGAACAACATGAGACCTCGGAACTGAGCCCCACCGAGTGGCCCAAAGGTGATGAACCAGGAGTGACGGACTAGAGAAGTCCGGGGAAGGAAAATAGCACAAAACAGGGTATAAATGGCTAATACCCTGCTACAAGGAAACTTAAACAGGGCCAGAAACGCCCAGGACATCCTGGCTCAAACAATGGCGGAATATTATATTGGCTTGGCGGTAATTGCGGAGCCATATCGAATTCCGGTCCACCCCCATTGGGTGGGTGACCTGAGAAGAGACGTGGCCATCTGTTGGCGTCGGAGTAGCCACCCACTCCCGCTAACGAAGGCCTCTACGCAGGTAGAGGCTTCGTCATGGTCAAATGGGGGGAAATGTACGTTACCGGCGTATACATTTTCCCAAGTCTCGCAAGGTCTGAGTTCGAGAGGAGTTTAGAAGATCTGGCAAAACATTTACAGAGTTATGGGAAAAGCCCCATGATTGTAGCGGGAGACTTCAACTCCAGATCGACTCCGTGGGGTGACAGGACTACGAACCTGAGGGGACGGCTTCTCGAAGATTGGGTTGCCAGCCTGAGTCTGTGCTGCATGAACACGAGAAGGACGAGCACTTGTGTTAGGGCCACGGGTGAATCGGCCGTAGACATCACATGGGCCTCTCCTGGCCTCGCAAGGAGGATCGCAAAATGACAGATGAGACAGATGGAGACGATGTCGGACCATCTATTGATCACGATGGAGCTGGGTTTAACAACCGCGCAGGAGAGAAGAAAAGGAGCTACGGAACAGCGCTGGGCTGTTAAAAAGCTAAACAAGGATATGTTCGAGGCACCCATCATAGCGAGCTCCTGGCCGACGAGCCGTCTAGAACGGGATATGGAGAACTGCGACCTAAATAGGGAGGCGGACAAGCTGCAGAAAATTGCAATAAACGCCTGCGATGTGGCAATGCCAAGGGCTAAGACCCGACCGAGGAAGAGTGTCCATTGGTGGAACGAGGAGATAGCACTGCTGAGAGAGGATGCCTCAAGAGCGCGCAGGGCAATCAAACGAGCCCGCAGAAGATCTGAACCGGAAGAAATCGAAACAAGAGCAAACAAATATAGGATACTTAAGAAAAAGATAAGAGCGATCTACGAGGCGAAAGAACGTTCATGGCAATGTCTTGTGGAATCCTTAAACGAGGACCCATGGGGGACGGCATGCAAGTTGGTCTTTAATAAATTGCGACATGGGACGGTACCACTTACGGTTTCGCTGGACCCTCCTTTTCTGGAGGAGGTGTTAAATACACTCTTCCCGCCCCCCGAGAACCAAAGAGAGGAGGAATGGAGGGAAAGGGATAGCCTCCCCAGTGTGAGTAGCGGACGCTGGGTGCCAAAGATGGAGGTATCCCACGAGGAGATTCAATTCGCCGTGAGGAAAATGAATCAGAGAAAAGCGGCGCCTGGGCCCAGCGGGGTACCGAGCCAGGCATGGTCGATGGTGACGGATGGACTCTTCGCCAAAATGAGAAAGCTATTCACGAAATGCCTGAAGGACGGAGTCTTTCCGGAAAGATGGAAGCAAGCCAAACTGGTGTTGCTACGGAAAAACAGCAAACCAGCGAATGATCCCTCAGGTTACCGGCCCATATGCCTCCTGGATGAGGAGGCGAAGATTTTCGAACGCATTGTAGTGGGTCGCATCAACGACTATCTCGACAGTTTCGGATTTGGTATGGGATCGCGCTTAAACGCATCCCAATTTGGTTTCCATAAAGGACGCAGCACAAGAGGCGCCATCGTTAACGTGCGACAATTCACAGAGCGATACATTGAAGCCACGGGGGGAGTTGTGGTAGGAGTGTCGATTGACATATCGAACGCTTTCAACTCCTTGCCGTGGAATGGAATTGGAAAAGCGCTCACGACGCTCAAGATACCTTATTACATTCGGAGGGTCCTGAGAGCATACCTCTCAAAAAGGTACCTCACGTACGTAGACAAAAGGGGAGAGACCCAAAGTAGAAGGGTCGAGCGTGGAGTGCCGCAGGGATCGGTCCTGGGTCCATGTTTATGGACGCTCGGCTACAACGAGGTACTGAAGAACGTCGAACTCCCAGATGATTGCGGAATCACCGCTTATGCGGACGACACGCTTGTCTTGGCAGGAGGCCAAGACTGGCAGGAGTCCAAGACTGGCAGGAGGCCGTGCTCAGGGCCAACGAGGCAGTTGCCAACGTGATCTTCCATACTAAAGCATTGGGGCTAAGCATTTCAGGTGGGAAGTCGGAGGCAATATACTTCCGAGGAAACAGAAGATGTCCGCCGGAGAAGTCCGTCGTGAGGGTGGATAATACGGACATCATCCTAAAGGATAGCCTCAAGTACCTGGGGATGATCGTGGATAGCCGATGGACCTACGAACGATACTTCCAGGTACTAAGCGAGAGATTGCTACGAACGGCAGGCAACTTGGCAAAAATTCTGCCAAACATCGGGGGACCAAGTTCCAGGGTTAGACGGCTGCACGCCACAGTACTGGACTCGATGGCGCTGTACGCGGCTCCTGCTTAGATAGACAAGATGGAAAAGAGCAAGCTCATTCAGCGCCAACTACAACAGGTGTAGCGTAGGATCGTCTGCAGGGCCATAAGAGGATATAGAACGGTAAGCTTTGCTACCGCGACTATATTAGCCGATACACCGCCTCTGCTACTAAAAGTAAAGATGTACGCGAAAGTATACGAAGCCATGCAGGAATAACGCTCACAAGGACTAAAGCGAATTCCCCCTGGTGTGGCGGAACCGATAAGAGTAAGGGAAAGAAACAGGATGTTCCGCGATTGGGAAACTTGGACAAAAAGACCTGGTCAATCGGGAGGGGCGGTGGGGATTGCACTCCGACCCCATCTCCAAAAATGGGCCGAGGCGAAGATCGGCCTCACATACAGATGCACCCAAATACTGACGGGCCATAGGTGCTTTGGGCAGTACTTGCACACAATCAAGAAGGAAGAATCTGCCAGGTGCTGGCACTGCCCGGCCAGGCTGGATACGGCCCAGCATACGCGGGAAGAGTGCCCGGCTTGGGAGCAAGATAGAAGAGCGCTAATCCGGGACGTCGGAGACGACATATCGGGTACTGCTCTAATCAGGGCTGTACTCGATGATGAAAAAAGGGAGGCAGTCCTTCGTTTTTGTGAAAGCATAATGAAAACAAACGAGGAGGCGGAACGCACTCGCGAGCGAACGCCCGACGACAACGGGAAGGAAATTAATTTGAGGTAGGCACTTGGCTATGCCGAGATTAAAAGTGGGTCTGGACCTGACTTGGGTCCGTCTGTTCTCGGGGATGATGAGCGGGTGACTCATCATTCCTCGGCTATAGAACCTGGGGCCTGGTGGTGAGAGGGGAGGTGGTGTCCCCTCCCTCACTGCGGATTAGAGAAGTGATTGAGAAGTGCGCAAGCGCTTCAGGCGTCAGGACGGGAAGGTGAGTACTGTGTCCAGAGCCTTCTCCGTCCTGACTCAGCGCCTAAGGTAGGACACTCGCTGGAATTTTAGTGGGTATGCCCTGGACCGTCAGGTCTGGGGTGAGTCCCACATAACCCTACTCCTTCTCCCCGGAAGGGCGGGTATGCGTAACGCATTTCCCCAGCGTAAACAAAAAAAAGGTTAGGGGTAGGATTAGGATTAGTCCAATATTTACGTGTTCAAGTGATACGTGTCCAATATTAACGTGTCCCATATAACGTGTCCAATTGCAACGTGTCCAATTGTAATGTGTCCAAATGATACGTATCCAATATTAACGTGCCCAAGTGATACATGTCCAATATTAACGTATCCAAGTAATACGTGTCCAATATTAACGTGTCCAATATAACGTGTCCATTTGGAACATGTCCAATTGCAACGTGTCCAATTGTAGTGTGTCCAAATGAAGGCCACTCATTAAAGTCTACAATAAATGATTTACCATATAAATATACGAAAGGTTTTCGTAGCGATACATTACGGACTAAACCCACTCTCTGATAGACTCGTCTATTGGCTGGGCTGTCGCAAAGACGAAAGATGACATTCGAGAAGATCTGTAAGTCAAGGAGTCAAGCTAGGATACTCACGGAGAATATTCAATTCTTTGTCGATCTTCTGATAGATATGGTTGTCGGAATTGCCTGTACGGATATCACAGTCGTTGGCACGTCTCATAATAGCTGTCAAACATGTTCCAGATTGAGATTCAACTCAATAGGCCATATTAGTCCGATAAAAGGTATGCAACCTCATGAAATAACATTAATTATTTATGAAAATGTTAAGCCAATGATGGACACGCTATAAATTACTGAGAGGTAATGCTGACATATTGTTAAAAGAAATTATATGGAATTATACACTGCGCAACAAAATTATTGCAACAAAATTTTTCATCGAAATTTTGCTATTTTTTAAATGCACATAACTCGGTCTATTTTCATCATATTAAGACGTTTTCGTTTTCATTTTGTAGGTAATTATCTGTACTTTAAGAAAAACTTGATGCAAAATTAGGTACAAGTCGATGCCGCATCTCCATGTTTTGATAAAGCTCAAGCATTTTTTTTTCTTAAAAAATTTGATTGTTTGACGCGCTACCTGGATCGCCTCGATTTTTTTTCGAAAATACCACATAGACCATTGTAAAGTGCACTTTTCAACAAACAATTTGAAAAAAATTCGAGTCTCTACGATTTTTTTTGACCGAGTAATGCCATTTTGAAGTTATTCGGGCGTTTTTAACGAATATTGCGATAGAATCAAATGCCGAACCTTATTATGGGGAAGGATCCGTATTGAACATTAATTTTATTATGCATAGTGAATACTAATAAAAAAATATAGAAAAGCACATGATATTTTATTTTCTTACTGAAAATGCTTCGGCTTACTGAAATTCAATCTGCTCAAATTGTGGCTCTGCTAGAGGCGGGATTGAGTCAGAGCGCCGTAGCAATAAGAATGAGTATTAATCGCTTAACGGTATCGCGTGTTTTTAGTCGGTACCAAGAAACAGATTCTTATCGCCGGAGGCCTGATCAAGGTCGACCTAGGATAACTACGAATCGGGAGGATCGAAACATTGTCAATGAAGCTCTGCGCCTCCCAACAAGGATTGCGCGACAAATCGTGAATGAAGCTTTACCAGGCAAACGAATTAGTACTCAAACGATAAGAAGACGCCTTCACGAAAGAGGTTTAAGATCACGAATTTGTGCTAGAGTGCCCATGTTGACATCAGTGCATCGGCGAACTCGTCTACGTTACGCCCGAAATCATCGAAACTGGACGGCCAGACAGTGGAGAAATGTGTTGTTTACAGACGAATCTCGATTTTGTCTGTTTGGGAATGATGCTAGGATCCGAATTTGGCGACGTAGACGAGAGCGTTTTAAAGCGAATCATGTTGATCCAACTCGAGCGTTCGGTGGAGGATCCGTTACGGTATGGGATGGAATATCAATGAACCATCGAACAGATCTAGTGATTCTCCAACCTCCAGGATTCACAGGGGTACATTACATAAACGAAGTTTTGCGTCCTTGTGTGATTCCGGGTGAGCACCCAGTTGGACACGGCTCAATTGAACACGAGCCACTCACAGCGCTTGAGACTACAAAGCTCCTAAGCATCGGTCGCTGTGATTGGTGGTGTCCAATCGAGCCGTGGTCGATCACCCCTGTGATTCCAATGCGTCGACGAATAGACCGTGATTTCATCTTGATGCAGGATAATGCATTTCCCCCTGTTGCGAGGGTAACTCGTGAGTACTTGGCAGTAAACAATATACAGTTACTGCCTCATCCATCTAACAGCCTAGACCTCAATCCTATTGAGCATGTATGGGACATGATGGGTAGGAGATTACGTAACTTGAAAAGACCTGCTAATCTGCAGCTTGAGAGAGCTCTACATAAAATCTGGCACAAGATACCTTAAGATTCAATCAGAGCATGCATTAATATGCAAGAACATTTAGGAGAGGTTATCCGACGCCGAGGTGGCAATACATGGTATTGAATGCCTCTAACACTTGACCGTTCTGGCATTAGGCAAATAGGGTTTGGAATCAGAAAATACTGTGCAAGTGACGAGCCACGGGATCCCTAATTTGACAAATGATTTACATAATCGGCCCTTTTCAGGGCAAAAATGATGCGTAAAGTCCGACCTGCAACCTCCTCGCAGTACGTATCGGGTAATGCTAATGCATGTGATACTAATGCTGGTGATATTCGTTAAAAACGCCCGAATAACTACAAAATGGCATTACTCGATCAAAAAAAATCGTAGAGATTCGAATTTTTTTTCAAATTGTTTGTTGAAAAGTGCACTTTACAATGGTCTATGTGGTATTTTCGAAAAAAAATCGGGGCGATCCAGGTAGCGCGTCAAACAATCAAATTTTTTAAGAAAAAAAATGCTTGGGCTTTATCAAAACATGGAGATGCTGCATCGACTTGCACCTAATTTCACATCAAGTTTTTCTTAAAGTACAGATAATTACCTACAAAATGAAAAAAAATCGTCTTGATATGATGAAAATTGACCGAGTTATGCGCATTTGAAAAATAGCAAAATTTCGATGAAAAATTTTGTTGTGATAATTTTGTCGCGTAGTGTATTATATGTAGAAAGACTGAACTGAATACTTATGTAAATAGTTTGCGCGAAGAACAAGACCTCTGTTCCAAAATTTACTGCCACAACTGAAAATCTATAGTTTTACGTTATGTGCACTATAGATTTTCAGTACTGTGTCACGTCTTATATTCCACAATACTCTTAGATCGAGTAGAGAGGGAATATGAGTGAT